GTGTGTGTGTGCTCCTGGAACACTTTCTAAGCACACCTGGTCCCTTATTTACATGGGACTTCCTTTTTCATGACTCGTTTTAGGGTGATGCTCAGTTCCCTGACTGAAGTAGCAGCCTATGGAATAAGCAGCAATGCTTTTTGTCAGGACACTTCCACAGAAAGAGATCATACTTGTGTTATGTCCATCCAGCTGTTCTGAAATGTAATGCTATTCTGTTGTGCCTTTATTTTTCCATGTAAAAGCAACTGCTGTAAGCTTTCTTTCTCTTTTACTAGTTTTTATTTTATTTCTGTCTGAAAAGAACACTTTTCATTGCCCAGATGTCATTTCTGGATGCAGTTGGTGATCCAGGTATTTCAAGAACCACTTACCTCAAACCTCATGTTAAACAGTGTTGCTATCTGGATTCTCCTTGATACTACAATATCGTAACATACACAAACAGGAACCTTGCTCAATATGGGTATTTATATATGTGTATCATATACATATATACATGTATATATATGATATATATATGTAAATGGAAAGTGATCCCCAAGGACTGAAGGAAAAAAACAAAACTTATTTTGTATTCCAACATTGAAACCAAAAGGGCTTTTCTGAAGCTCTATAATGGCATTGTGCTGGATATCTAGAAAGAAAAAGTGTTTTCTGAAAAGTGCTTCCTTCATTAGCCTTTTATTTCAGTATTTTAATGGGGCAGATGATGTGAATAAAATGCCAATTCTGCATTTTTGGCCCATTTTGAAGCAGAAGCCTCTTAATCTTTCCAGTTGTTTAAAAAAACAAAAACTCGGTTTATAACATTCCAATAAAGTTGGTATTGCAAAACTCAAACACGTTCTAGGAAAATTTTTAATACCTTCTGTTTTTGTGACAAGGAAGGCCATATTTCATTCAATTTTGCAATGTTTTGAGGAACTGAAGTTTAACCAGTAACCATCCTAGTCAATTAAAATCCTAATTCAGTAGTCACTTGCATCTCTGCATTGCCACCTCTGTTAAAACACCAAAATAAACATCATAAAACAATCGAAAGCAAAAATCCAGCCATTACAGAGGAGGAGCAGGAGATTGGAGCATCTCATAGCTTTTGAAAGCGGACTTAGCAACTTTGTGGATAACAAAAAATATGTTGGCAAGACCTAGAACCTGTCTGGCCCTTTCCTTTTCCAAATACCTACTCCCAAGAACAAACTCATAAAATCAGACCTTCAATTATAGCAACTTCTTAATGGTATCTGCTGAAGAGAATATTCAGGCTATATTTTGAGGGAAAAAGTAAAAGTTGGACCATTTACTAAAATTACCATTTTATTTTATGTGTTCCCTCCCAAATGTCTGATTTTTTAAAAAAATGTATCCATGTAGTTGATACAACATTAGTCTGTGTTTTACTTGGACAGCAGAGTAGCTTTCCTGTCCAAATACTAATGAATTTACTATTAGTAGTAATTTATTTAATTACTGGTAATGAATGGATAGTAATTAATTTACTGTTACTAAAGGAAGAGAACAAAATATTTCCCTTTCCCCATTTTCTCTTGACTGCCTAATGTTTCTATGGCTATTGGTGGTTGATGATTATTATCTTTGGTAAATCAAAGTACTAAAATCTCCCAGGAGGAGGTATTTTGCAATGCTGCTGGCCTTCCAATGGAATAACTATGATGCAAAACTCAATCTCGTAGTGGATGAGGATTGAAGGAGGTGGTTACTGCAAACTAAGTAACATTTTTGGCCTCAATTCTATGCCATAAGCCTGCACAATGCCATTGTCAATCTGTTCAAACTATCTGCTTATGAATTCTGCATGATCCTCATGATAGAGTTGAAAGCCTGATCTTTCACCTGTTAATATTTTCACATTCGTCCTTAAGTTTGACAACTTTTGTACTGTAAAGTTGACTTAAGTACAGTTTGATGTCAATTCTTGTGGAAAGAGCTTTCTGCATGTAACATTAGATGCATACAGTTAAACAACACAGCATAGTACAAAAACTCACAAGAAAATGTTTTGGCACCAGCAGGAAGAAATCTCACCCTAACCATTTGTCATTTTAAAACCATCCTATTGTAAGTTTTACCAGCTACTTCTAAATTTGTGCTTTATTTAAAGAAATAAAATAAAAATCCTAAGACTTGTCTAGCGTAGTGAAATATGTGTATATCAGTTTTAGGATAAATAGCTAAGTCTTATTACGCTGTGTTACTTAACTTGTATATATGGAGTATACATAAGAGTTTGCAGTAACCTGTTTCTCCAGGATTTCCAGTTGGAATGGATTTAAACTCAAACTATGAGATTAAATGATTTAGAAGATTGCAGAATAAACTGAGTGTAAATTACAGGAAGCTCTATCAGATGGTGAAATAATTTTTAAAGAGTCTTTTGGTCCTTGGCTCAAATTCACTAAGTACTGTTTGTATACCAAGATATGTGAAATGTAAATGTTGTAGGTTATATTTCACTCTTGTAGCTATAAAAATGTAGAACAGAGATAGCTTGTACTACTGAGTTAACAAAAGTTATACTAAAGTATCCTGTTAAAGAAAAAAGTATAGAGAGTTAAGCTCGTTGCTGTAACCCCTTTTGGATTGAAGTGTGCTGATTTTTTATATATGTACATTTTATATATATATATATTCTGGAGAAGTATACATATATAAAATGTATGTATAAAATGGCCTAATGCAGACATCCATTGTATTGCAGTTATGAAATGAAGACATTTTGGAAAGAACATTGTATCATAGTTCATGAATTTGCAGTGGATCTTTGTTCCTTTTTACTGTGGTATTTTAGAAATGAGTCTCAAGTTTGAAATTAGATCTGCCAAGTTGGAGTTTTGCTGCTTCAGCTTTGCACTGGGTGTCCGAATAAACCAGTATGAATGTAGTATTTGCCCTGTGTGAAGCAGCGACACCCCAACAGATAGGAGGAAAAAAAAACTAGAAAGAACTATTTCAAGTTTATCTTTTTGTATATGAAAATAAACAGTAAATTACAAATAACTGTTTCCCTCGTTGGTGTGACATTAAAACTCATTGTTATTTTATTGTCTTTGGCATCTAGCTGGAGGATTTCCTTCTTCATAGATTAATGTTTTTTCAATAGCATTTCTGCTATCCAAAATCCCTAAAAAGTCCCTGCAGAGGCATAGCTGAGGCCTGCCTCTACTACCCATCATTTGCAAACAGTTCCAAAGAGAAGTGGGAGTTATCTCAAATTCACAGAATCATAGAATGGTTTGGGTTGGAAGAGACTTTAAAGATCATCCACTTCCAACTCCCTTGCTAAAAGACACCTTCCACAAGGACCAGGTTGCTCCAAGCCCCATCCAACCTGGGCTTGAACAACACCAAAGATGGGACATCCAAAACATCTCTAGGCAACCTCTGTCCTTTTATTGTTATTAAAAAATATTATCATTATTGCTATTATTATTATTATATATTGTTATTTAAATGCCTATTATTTAATTGCCCACTTGAGTGTGTTGCCTTTTCTATCACTGTGGTAATGCTGCTTATCACTCCTAGCAAAGAACTGCTCACACAGGGCAATATGTCTATGGGAAGCTGTATCAAGACAGTCCAGCAGTGTAGCTGCAACTGCCAGAAGCCAAAGGCAGGGGAACTTGACCAGGAAAAATATTTAACAAAAAAAAAAGCCTGAGTTCCCCATAGTCATAGCACCACACTGAGGTCTGTAATCCTCACACGAGGTATGAAGATGCCCTCAGCCACACACTGAAGCATGGCCAGACCTTTCCAGGAAAGCTGCCTGCAGTAAAATGATGGTGTGGCCATGGAATCCTTATATTCTGGTGTTTTCCCTTGCTAAACTGATCTTTTTTTTCCAGAAAATTGTTTCTGGCTTGGTGCTGGGTTGAAAATGCTTGGTGTGGATGGATTGAGGCAAATATGAACATTAGCAGGCATTTGGGAGGGAAAAATAGTAATAATCAGGCTGGTGGTATTCCTGAAAAGAAACCCAATGTAATATCACCCTTTATTGACTAAAGCCAACCCCATATCACAATCTTCTTATTCAGTCTGTAGAAGAGAAGGTTCTGGGGAGATCTTCTGGTGACCTTCCAGTCCCTAAAGGGGACTTGTAAGAAAGATGAGGACAAATTTTTTTAACAGGCCCTGTTGCAATAGGACAAGGGGAAATGGTTTAAAACCAAAAGAGGGTTGATTTAAATTAGATTTATGGAAGAAATGTTTTACAATGAGGGTGGTGAGGCACTGGTACAGGTTGCACAAAGAGGTGGTGGATGTCCCATCCCTGGAAATATTCAGGGTCAGCTTGGATGGGGCTCTGAGCAACCTGGTCTGGTTGAAGGTGTCCCTGGTTATTGCAGAGGGGTTGGGCTATCACAGAATCACTGAATTGTTTGGGATGGAAGGATCCTCTGGAGATCACCTTGTCCAGCTCTCCAGCAGGAACCTGGAGCAGATGATGCAGGAATGTGTCCAAGTGGGTTTGGAATGTCTCCAGAGAGGGAAAACTGTGACCTCCCTGCTCCAGTGCTTTGCCACCCTCAGCGTAAAGAAGTTCTTCCTCATGTTGAGGTGAAACTTCTTTGTGTTTTAGTTTGTGGCCATTGCTCCTCATCCAGTCGCTGGGCATCACCGAAGAGTCCAGCACTGTCCTCTTGGCACCCACCTTTGAGATATTTAAATGTGTTAATGAGATCTCGCAGTCTTCTCTAGACTGAACAGACCCAGCTCCCGTATCTCTCCTCATAAGGGAGGTGACCTTTTCTTCTCCAGCTAAAGACTTCAAAGATCCTTTCTGACCCAAACCATTTTAGGATCCTATGATTCAGTCATCTTTTGCGGGGTGATCGCCCCTAGCCAAGCCGGATGGGGGCAGTTTAGCCAGTCCTGTAGTCCCCGTGAGGGAGCTCGCTTCGTGTTTTAACCCCGCCGTGCTCATCCCCTCACGGAGGCGATGCGGCCATGGCGCCCTCATTGCTGTGCCGTGAGGGGGCGCTGCGGAGCCGCGCCCGCCCCTTCCCCTTCCTTCCCTTCCCCTCCCGCCGCCGCCATGGCGGCCTTGCGCCGCCACCGCCGCTTCCTCGGCGGCTTCATCTGCGGGGCCGCGGCCGGGGCCGCCGCGTCCTGCTGGGCTACGTGGCGGCTCCTCCGCAGCCAGAGCCAGCCGGAGCCGGGCCCCGGGCGGCTCCAGCCACAGGGTAAGAGCCGCGGGTCGTGGGGATGGCGCGGGCGGCCCGGCTCAGCGCGGTCCCGCAGCCCCGCTCCCCACTGCCGCTTCTGTCCCTAAACTCTCTCCTTCCCTCCAAAAGAGCCTTTTCCCTCCTTCCCCCGTTCCCGGAATGCCCAAATGGTGCCGGGAGATCGTGGGGTTCCCCTAGTACCTGCTCCGGGCTGAGTGGGGAGGTTATTTGGGGATGCTGGGCTGTAGCTTGTAATTAAACGCGCTTCCCTTTGCACCTCCTCACGGTGGGGTGTTGTGGAAAGAGAGGAATGTGTTTTTAGTTTCAAACACACATTTCGGGTCAGACCATTACTAAATTTCAGCTGTTGCTGCCCTGGATGAGCCGAGGCTCATTTATCAAGTCTGGGGTCTGGTGGGGTTAAGGTGTGGGGAGAGATCTTTGGGGCACTTGAGGGAGTGAATGGTTTTCTCCGCAGCCTCAAGGCTTTAAAAGTACCGGATTGTTGGAAAGCAGAGGAAGAATGGCTCTAAAAACATGAGTTGCTGTTGGACAGATGTCTGGAGAATGAACACGACAGTAAGATGGATGTAAATATTCCTCCATTAGAAAAAATTATTACTTGTAAGAAAAAAAGAAAATTCAGTGAAGATTTCATTCATTCAGCAGAGTACAAGCATTCCCAGCGAGGCGGGACTTGCTTGTGCCCAGCTTGTAAATCTCAAGGAATTTGGGTTTTTTTTTGTGAGGAGTTTGATTTCCAGCTCCAGAGCGTGAAATGTATGTGATGATCTCATGTGTCTGTAACTCCTGGTTGCCTGATTTGTCCCTAAACATCTGAGAGCTTTTTTTCTGTAAAAAGGAAATATTTGATAGCTTTTCTTCTATAGAAAGTTAGTCCTAGAGCTGAGATCGTCATGTTAAAACATGACGAGAGCCACAATTATTTTGGCAGATGAGAGTTTCACTGGATAGCTCTCTTAATATTTTTTAGATCTTAATTGTGGCTGTAAGCTCAAGTAACTCCCTATACAGTGGATTTACACCCACTGAGGTTTTTTTTTATTGTCCCGTTTATGATCACATTTAATCTTTGGATGGTTTGTCTGTTTATTTTTTCTTAGAACCAATAGAAGAGGCTCTGCTGGAAAGATATGGGTTTCCTGAGGCTGGAACAGAGACCAGATGTTACACAAATCATGCATTGTCTTATGACCAGGCAAAACGGGTGCCTAGATGGGTGATTGAGCACATTTCAAAACAAAAGATGCTGGGTACGTAGGTGTGAGTTTTCTTACATTTGTGATGTTCTCAGTGGGCTTTGCTGCTCACAGAAGGTGAATCCTGGAGCAGTCCGGGAGAAAAGTCCTGTAGTTTTCTCTGGGAGGGAAGCTCGACTTGCCTTTTTATAACACGAATGGAGAGAAGGTGAAACAATGAAAATTAACCCTTCTTTACTTGATTTGGAGCTGCAAAATTGCTTGAGTGCATAAAAATGGCTCCTGCTTCCTTAGTAGTGGAGTTAGTTCTGAGGTCAGTGGAGTCAATGCCAGTGGTAGCCAGATCTTTTAATGTACAGGTCTTAGAAATTTGCTCAGAATGGGAGGAGAATGTCCATTTGTGAGATAAAAACTGAGCAAAGGGCATCAACAATTGTTCAGAGCTAGATAGGGCATTACCTCCTCACTGCAGCCATTATTTACTCTGATACAGTTCTCATACTCTTCCCCTGTTCTTTATGCAAGACAGAGGCTCAGTGATTTTTTGCTGTCAGTAGTGAGTGAAATATGAGTGGTATCCAGTCATTGTAAATTAAGTTTATAGCATTAGTTAGTTCAGTTTTTATAAGGTAGATTATTAGTAATGGAGGCAACCATGTAATTATAAAATGTTTTATGAAAGCAATAGCCCTCTAAGTACATCTTAATCACTGTCTTCAAATTACCTTTCAAAATTAAAAGCAAGATCTTGAAAACATTATGACCAGCCCCTAAGTAGCATCATTGATCCCACTTCTTTCTGAGAAGAAAACAGTAATTTCAGGCTTACTTTCAAGTGGGCCTTAATACCTGAATTGTTAAAACGTTTTCCAAATAATAAGATACAACTAAGCTGCAAGTTGAAATTAAGCATCTTGAGGCATTCAGTTCTGATTTTTGTCTGTAGCCACTTGAATTGAGATTTGAGGTAAACCTGTCTTGTTTGGGGAAGACTGAAAAGTCATGATGCAAAAACCCATATATTTTATTGGTAAGTAAGGACCTAAATATTTAAAACACATGGCAGAAAGAATTTAGCATTGCCTGTAAATGAGATGTACAGATTTCAGATAATGTACTGAATCCTTAATCATGGGTTGTCTGGCAAGAGATGACACTATTAGATCTTTTTGTTTTGTGGTTATGATGGTTTCATGATAATCTGACCATTTAGTGTGTTGTTCTTCAGGTGATGCAGATCGAAGGCACTGTAAATTCAGACCAGACCCTAACATCCCTCTGATGTTCAGTGCTGTCAATGAAGACTACCTTGGCAGTGGATGGTCACGAGGACACATGGCACCAGCAGGAGATAACAAATTTTCCACAGTAGGACTTTTTTCTCTCATCTTTTAAATTTGTGTTTATCAGCTGGAAAGGGTCAAGAGACCCTTAGAAGTAATGTGCACTGTTCCTTTTGCAGTTTGTTTTGAGGTGGAACAAGATGTCATTATTGATGCACACAGCTGGATTTGGAGTTACAAGGTCTGTTCCTGACTGAGCAGTGTAGGATGCTCTCACAGTCTGCTTCAGGCTTCTAAATCAGGTGCATGCTCTGATGACATACCTCTTCATTAAATCACACCTACATCAGCTTGTTTGGCAGAGATGATGTCTTGGACAGTGTGGTGTTAAACAAGTGTTCTCAGCCTCTTGCATGTCACATTGTCTGCCTGTAAAATGAAGATGATAACCTTCACCAAGAAGACCCTGCAAGTCTTCAAAGCTTAGTTAAAGGGAGACAGGGACAATGATGTCATTGTGGCCAACAGCTGCTGAGATATTTAAGGCTAGATTGGGCAAAGCAAAGATGCTGTTAAGTACTGTTCTGTATTGGCAAGGGGATTGCCTGGATGATTTAAAAGGCTTTTTCCTTTCTTGCAATGTGTATGAGGTAAATTAGACCCTTTTGCCATAGTCCTTTCAGTCTATAAAATGTCTTCACCTGCCATTTATTCAAGCTGTAAGAGAAGCATGGCTTAATGCCTTGGCTGACTTACAAAAGAGCCTTGAATTTATTGGATCCTCTTGTGAAATGTGCCTAATGCAGCAATTTGTTAATTAAGAAGCAGTTTGAAATTGTATTTCTCCAGGCAGATAGTATTCAGTGTGGTGGAGTGACAGCACAGTGGCATGTGGTAAATGAAAGAATCAGTAGTTTTATTTCTATTGGAAGTGTCTTTGTTGTTATTTATTTCTGATATCTGGGGACTTTTAGCCGGGAGCAGAGATCCTGGACCTGGCTTGAAATGCAGTGAGATGATACATTCTTTCAAATACAGGATTATAAAAATTTAAATTTATAGTCTAATTTGTGGACGTAGTGTTTGCTCATTATCCTAAGAAGTTTCTGTCAGTCCCTTCGCTTTGCGATAGCAGTATGTGAAAAAGATTGACAAATGCAGGACTTGTGAAAATTCTGGATTAAGATCTTGGAATTTTTTCTCTCTGTATTTCCCTTCATATGTCTAGTGTTCTAGCACTAGGTTCTTCACCTCTGGAGGTATGTGAGCTTCTATTCAGAGATGTTTATGACACTTTTACAAGATGAAATGAAGCAGATATATGGATGTTTGACTATTACGGTCTCATAAATAATTTCATTGCCTCTACGTTATGTATGTGTAAAATATTGATGAGTATATCTAATAAAACTTTTTCTTGTAAAGGAAAGAAAACGTTAGCCATTAAGCAGTCAAATAAATGAAAAGCATGCTTAAAAGTGTCCTTCCCATTCAAAATGAAAAATGACTAATTGCTTACATTACCAAACTGACACTGACACTATGCCTCTAGAATTGGACATTCTCTTGCTGTTTCTGCCAGGAAAAAAAAGTAGATAACTTTGCAGGGCTCCACCTCAGTTGTGCACCTCTTAATTCAAAATAATTTTGTAGGTGTTCTGATTTAGGTTTTTCTGATTTTCCGTGTTGATAGATGTTAAAATTAAACTAGGAATGGGATTCTGATCCACAAACTGCTAAAATGTGTCTTCAGCTCATGAATGTTTAAGTGAAATTATATTATTTTCTTTCTCTATGCAGAGAGCTATGGCTGAAACGTTTTATCTATCTAACATTGTGCCTCAGAATTATGAAAATAATGCTGGGTTTTGGAACAGGTGAGAAATTACTTGTAAGTAAACTAAGTGAAAAAAAAAAATACCAGGCAGCAGCATAAATAACAAATGCTTTATTTTTAAAGGTTCTTCACATCCAGGTATTTGAGAACAGTTTATCTGTAGAGGTCATAGGAGCTTTCTCTGACATGAAAGGCAGCTCAGTCCTCTCAGTGGAAGAGCAGTATAATGACTACTTCAGTTCTTCATTCAGTCAAACTGCCAAGGATATTTATTTAAAATAGACAAAATTATTTCTTCTGGCTGATGTGAGGTAAAAGTACCAGGCTTAACTGTCCTTAAGGAAGTTTCAGCAGAAGGAAGGAGAGGGTTTAGATCTCCCTCAAAGAAGCAGTGTGAGAGTATTCCCATGTCTGTGTGTGGATGTTGGTTCTCTTTGAATTGGAGAACTGAGCGCTCCCCAGTGAGCTGTCACTACTTCAGGGCTGAGGAGTTCCTTCAGGTCCTGGCTCCCCAGGAGCAGTCAGGCAGGATCTCTGTCACTTGTGAGTGCTGACTGGATCGACTTTGAGGTGGTGTGGTTGATTAAATTTAAACTTGCTTCGTGTAAGATTTTTATTCTTCCCTTCCTATGAGCAGAGAACGTAGTAAAAGTAGCATTTATCCAGTGGTTCTTGCATAGGACTTAGAGAATGTGAAGGCTCAGAAACAGGAGGGGAAAATGATAGATTTCTCAAGGTTCACTCAAGGGAAGGTCAGCAAAATTATATACAGTGTTGTAATAAAAGTCCATCAAAACGGCATCATTATTCATCTACACAGTGCTTTCCTGTTTTACAAGAATGTATATAAAATCAGATGAGCCATTCAGTATGGTTACACTGTTTTATAGACAAATAAAATGCAATAACATTTTAAGAGGGTTTTTCCTGATTTTAGTAACTCAGGTATTTGAGCATAAATTTTCCTTACACCAAAGTTAGGCATTTGTTGCAGTTCAAGGTAGGGAAACCCTTAAGCAGGATCTCTGCCTAATCAGGAAATCGTGGGAAGTATTTGAAAATTTCCTCTGGCACTATCAACCCTGCAATTTAAGCAATTAATGCCACCTTTTTCCAACCCCAGCACCCTGTTTCCAGAGTTTAAATGCATGAAAAAGGCAGCGATGCCACTTTTTTTGTCAGTCATTTCTTTAATAATAAATATTTTTAAGGATAATTTATTTCACATGTGTTGTATCCTTTCCTAGCTTCAATATTCTCTTCCTTTCTCTTGTTTTAATTGCTTGCTTCCTGACTTGTCTTCTGAGGTGCAGGCACAGTGGAACTTAGTATAAATGTTGTTTTCTAAAGTGATGTTTGCCCTCCTGCCTTGTGTTTTTGCTGGTTTCCCAGTTCCAGCTCTGGCAGTAGCCTGACTGTAGTGAGTCAGTTTCATTTGCCAGCCCAGTTAAAAACTGATTATCGTTTTGTTTTGCTTGGCTATATTTCTGCCAGATTAGAAAATAGGATCAACTGGTGAGATGAGTTCTAGAACCAACATGGAAGATGCATTAGGACTGGTCAGCTGTGACAGACAAGGGGAGCAGTAGGAAAGGGAAGAGCACAACTATAATCATCCAGCAAGCTGTTAATAGTAAACTGCTGGACTGGCTCTGTGGTATGCTCTAACTCCACCTTAGTATTACTCATTCTCTTCCAACTGATATTTAACTGTTTTCTGTATTGTTTGAGTGTGATTTCATGGTCACTGCAATCTCTGGCCCTCCTGTCACCAAAAGCAGTTTGCTCCCTAGCTGCATTTTTTCCTGTTTTTCCAGGTGGTGTTTGTGTTGCCTTGCCATGAGACAGCCTGAGGAGCTGGGCTGCTTGGAAGCAAAGCTGATGGGAATAGGAAAATAATTCACTTGTAGTCAGTGCTTCGGTGTAGCTCATGAAGAAAGGGCTCATTCTTGCTCATTCTCATTTGTGTGGCTCATACTTGCTGATACAACTCACTAACCCAGCACCAAACAAAATACTGGTTTTGTTTAGGGTTGTTGACAGATGAAGACTGTTCAAGTGGCCCAAGGGGGAGGTGTGAGGAACAGGAATTAGAGAAGGGGATGAAACCTCCCCCTTTCAGAGGCAGCCAGATTAGCTGGGATAATCTGGCTGATACTACTCCGTCCATTTGTGTGAAGTGCAACTCTTACCATTGTAGAGGACCTGTGCTTGCTCGCTGTATGTGATTTCTGTAAGTTGGGGTGTTAGATCAAAGATGTGCTATAATCATGGAATTAGAGATTTATTTGGATTGGAAGGGACCTTAAATACCACCTAGTTCCAACCCCCCTGCCATGGGCATGGACACCTTCCTCTAGATCAAATTGCTCAAAGCCCCATCCAACCTGCCCTTTCTGTAAAATAGGTGTGATCCAGAAACCATCTTATTTGAGAAGTATTCTGTAAACTGAATCAGTTTAAAAAGCAAAAATGTGGTGGCATTTCTGCAGTTACTACTTTATTTATGAACGGTTTTATATCTATTAAAAAAGGTAGAGTTAGTGAAAATGGCACACACAAACTTTCCTCAGTACTTTGAACTACAGAAAGAACTGTGTTGCAGAACTTTGATTCCTTGGGGAGAAGGACACAAATCCAATAATATGATAAAACCTTTCAAAGGAAAAATGCCTCAGCTTGCTGTTTAGAACAGTTTTATTTTTCTAATCCCAAGTGACCACCAACAGTATATTTCTAGTGTCAAGCGTGGGAGTAAGTAGGGAACTCAGCTATTCAGACATGTGCTAAGGCTGCAAAAACCATTTTCAGATGTGTGCAGTAACACGTCTGTCTGTAAATAAATGAACCTGATTTACAGAGGACGAAAGTGAAGCAAGACTTAGGCCTACTTGTGAGTCTGGAAAAATGCTCCCTGTCAGTAGTTCACCCTTCTCTTCACAGTGTGTCTCAAAGATTAAATCTTCCCAGCTGACTATTCCTTATCTGACAAATATGTTCCAGAATGGAAATGTACTGTCGGGAATTGACTGAGAGATTTGAAGATGTTTGGGTTGTTTCTGGACCTCTTACCTTGCCTCAAACAAATGGTGATGGAAAGAAGAGTGTTACTTATCAGGTATGTATATATATTGCTGGGATAATAGTGCATTAGTAATTATTTATTTAAAATCTAAATCATAACCTGTTAAAACAAAAGTTGGGCATCTTAGTACAGGCAAAATTTATAAAATGTGCAATACTTGTTAGGACAAGATTAGCAGAAGTGTTACATCTTGCCTATACATGAAAAAGCATGATTTAAAAATAATTTGTTTATTTACAGAGATCTATTTCATATCCAGAGTCAGCAGTAGAAGTGTTTATCCAGTCACAGTCAGTGGGGTTTACTAATGCACAGGCAGCTATTCAATCCATTTCTTCATGTGCTTTAGAAACAGTGGAATACAAAGGTAGTATGGGTAGTATATGTAAAGTAGATGGTAGTATAGTCTACAGGGTATTGGACTGCCAGTCCAGTGCTCTCTTAATTTCACAGGCAGTTATTTGCTGCTACACCATAGGCATCACTTGGATGAGGCCTTGCAGTTGAGATTCTGAGCATGCCAGAGTCACTTGGAAGACTTCACTCTAGTGCAGTGTAATCACTGGTCAATGGTACTGGTACTCCCCTTCTTTTAGCCCCCTATTTTTATTACCTGCTTAAAATACTCTGAGGATTTATCATGCACAGTCTGTAGAAACCATCACTGACAGGAAGATGGGACAGTCTTATGAAGCTGAGAGGTGAATTTATTGTTGCTCACACAGACTTACTCTTAGTAGGCTTGTGTTTAGACATCTGTAAGGTTTGAGCATGGTAAGTTATTCAAGGGAGTGTTACCTTCTGTCCCCACTGCAGTGAGATATTAATTGCTATTTGCAGTTGCAGATGGAAGCTGGCATAATGCAAATAATAAATGCTGCATTTTGCACCTCTTGGAGAAACACTTTTCCTTGAAAATAAGTAGTTGGATCAACTGCAGCTTCAGCTTGTGAGCAATTCAGCTTCCAAGCAGTTCTCTGAGGAGCAATGAATGAGCTTGCCAAAACAACCCCCTATTTCAGAGGGATGTGAAAGAGGGAGAGATGTTCAGTTTCAATACTGGCTTGTTTAGCAGTAAGAGTTAGGCACTATTTCTCCATTATAAATACACAGCTGATTTCCATCTGATTGAATTTGGAACTCGGTCATGATAGAATGTGATTTTTCAGGTTTGCTTTTACCTCTTTACTTCTCGAGAAACTGTCCCTTATGTCCCCAGCCATACATGTCAAACCTTGACTGTCACAAAATCACAGCTTTGGATTTGTGTTTGTTACTTTGGGAGAGGGAGTTATGTATATTAAAGTGCAGTAATAATAAGTTACCTTCTTCATGTTTAGTGGCAGTTCCAAACTTCAGCTCTCACCCCATCTTTGTGAGGGAGGTGCAGTCTGTGCTCATTTTTCAAGTGGATAAATAAGCCATGGTTAAGGGATATGACCAGTGCCAGATGATAAATTAGTGGGAAAGCCAAATTAGATCAGCAGTCATCCCGTGCCACCCACAGGTGCTCACTTCACCATTGCCCCTTCTACTTTCCAGGCCTTCCTCTGCCTTTCTTTTGACTGCCAGTGCTGATGACTGTCAGATCCTTCCACAAAATGCTTGATTACCCATTAATCAATAGAAACAGAATATATAGCAATAGAAAACCATCCATACTGGCTTTACTGGGCTTGTTTTGTACTGCTGTAAAAAGACTGAGGCAGCACACAGAGCAGTCCAGTGCTTCCTGGTGACAGCATGAGATCTGTCCAAAAGCACATAGCTGGGAGCAGGAGGGAGATGTTCCCTCTCAACAGTCTTCAACTGAGCATTTGGCTTCCTGTCACTCAGAATGGTACAGAGTTCTCCAGGCTTACACATGGGATTGCTGAGATTTGCTTCCTTGTAGTTGTCAGGGTATTGCATTTATTTTTCATCCTTGAAAAATATATCTTACATAGCAAAGAATTAAAAATCCTGAGCTGACTTGAATATTTTGTAAGTGGAAATCATTTCCAGGAAGAAGTTAAATCATCTATCAGCTGCATCTATCAATGACTCCACTTTAATCTTGCTCATCTTTTTCTTGTTCTTCTCTAGAGAAGTGTTTACTTTGAAGAGGAAGATTACATTTTCTAAAAAATTACTGTCATTCTGTCTTGGTTTTGAAATGCAAATTTTAGTATTCCACAGGTAAAAATCAGAGCAGACACTGCATCTTACTGCTTTATTCAAAATTACTTGATACCTGGATACAGTGGTGAAATAATAGTGGCACAAAATGGCCATGCTGTTGTGATTGTCATCTCGTTCAGTTCTTGTCTTTTGTCTTCATCATCTCTGGATTTGATGACAACACAGATCTTTTAGGAATGTTTAACCAATTTTGGTCTTACTATGAACTGAAGTTCAGTGTGAGATTGAAAATGGTGAAGTGTTGGTGTTCCTGTTTGTGTCACCACTTGTTCACATTCACAAATCCTTCTACTCAGCTTCCTACAGTGAGATTCATTATGTAAATTGCTTTTTATTTAAGTCTAGATAATACTGTCTCCAGGTAGGAAAAGTAAAATAATGATTTTGTTGTTTGTTTGTTTGTTTGTTTAAAATAATAAATTGTTTGATTTGGGTCCTCTAAATAAATACAAGCTGAGAATGTTGGGGTTTTTAAAATTTTGAAATCTCTTCATGATGGTTAAAGTTTTTTTGCTTTGCATTGCAGTTTTACTTTGAGGAGACATCAGAGTAGAGTGATGTGTTAGGTTTTTTGTTTGGTTTTTGTTTGCTTGTTTTTTCTTTCTTTTATCAACACATACATTTAGAGGAGGAAACACAAGGTGTCAAAGCATTGGAGAAAAGTTCTTTTCAAACAGACACCTTGGATATAATTGCAGTCATTGCCATTGATTTTGGTAGTCTGGGATTCTGCCCCTAAAGGAAGAACACTAGGGGTTGAAGGGAAGGTATCTCTTAGCTGTCTTTCAGTGAACTCAGCAGAGTTCACACAAATGACTTCAGACTGAAAGGAGTTTTAGTCCTCATTGTTGGGGCATGAGAAGCTGATGTGAGAAGATATCCTTTCCTTTGTGCTGTTCAAGGAGAAGTGCTGCAGTAGGCAGGGGAGTGCAGAAATTCACAACCTGTAATCTGCCAATACCTCTGTTAAGGCTCAGCTCTTCTTAATGTTTTTGCTCTCTCAACTAGAGCTGTGAAAAGGAAAGAAATCACACATGTGCTACAGTGGATGTGTCTGCACTCATTTGTTTCAGATCCTATTTTCAATCTTAGTTTCCTTGTTTTTGGCTAAAGGAGGGGTGAAATATGTATCCATGGTTTTACATGCTGATGTTTTTCTCATCAAACATCCATAAAGGTTATGTTTAGATTGCTACAGAGTAGAAACAGAGCATTGGTCATGGCTTTGTTCCCAGTTCCTGCTTGGATTCTGGTACCATTTGCTCTTTAATTCCAGAAAGGGAATTAACCTTGAACTCCTTAGATGCCAGCATTGTTCTGTCTATTGGCTGAACTTGTGGTATTCTCAGATATGTTCTGTCATTTCATCTGTCTCCAGCGGAGATTTTTATTGCAAAGACTGGATTGATGACTGTGCTTGGTATCTGAAAAACATATTTTGAGAATATATGTAGAATAGAATGCCAACAGGAAGAATCTGTTCTGTGTCATTGGAGAGGCAGATGCAGGTTTTTCATCTTTGTCCAGATCAAATCAAAATGACATTGTCTTGTTTTATACATTACTGCTCTCCAGTGACTGTCACTTTAGTGATTTTCCTCTGTCAGTAGATCTGGAGTTTGAAATACAAATTTTGCAATAATTAATTACAGCATGCTCAGAGCTCCACCCTTCCCATTCCCAAGACCATCCTAGTGAATGCTAATCTAAGAAGAATCAGCTGTGGCTGGCAAATGAAAATTCAGTTTAGATAATGTTCTGTTTGTTGTTTGAAAAAGACATTTTAATGTACTTTTTACTGATACACGAGGTTCATCCTGGCATCATGTTTGCTGTTTAATTTTCTAAACTGAATCACCAGGCTGGGCCAGAGAGGCACAGTAACCATTCCAGAAGGCACAGTTGCCATCTCTGTCTGTGGCAAATAACTGGGAAACAAATTGGTCCTCTCAAATATAAGATGGTACTTCATGGTTTTACCCAGTTAACTTTCAGAACTAGTAGAGGTTGTAAGATACTATAGGGGAAGGAATGCTTGTTAAAGCAGGAAATAAACCTGGGAACTATTGCTTGTTATTTGGCTGCTCCAAGTGCTCCTAAGGCTACAGAGATATCTACTGGATGTAGGTCCATTATAGATGTCCCATAAACTTTATGCAAAGGGTTCAATCATAGATCAGCTGGTGTAAGCCACCAGAGCCCTAAATTTAGATCTGAGGTACAAATGAATGGAATAGACACTGGGTTAAGGTGGGAGAAGAGACACTGAAGGGGCAGGAGAGATAAATTGTGATTGCTTTTATTTAGCACTGTACCCATCCTGAAGGTTATGCTGTTACAGAAAAAGGATGTTAAGGACTGTGGTGGATTAATTTTTAAATAACCTAAGTAGATTCTGTGGAAGCAGTAGTCTGTCATGTAAATACAGTTTATTACATAGATAGTATGTATCTACACCTTCTCTGTTACAGAAAAATAAAGAGGGGTTAGGGCATCTGTCTTTTAATGTCATAACTATATTCAGGAACAGCTTTTTTTATAACATCTCTTATTTTTTTCCCTTCCCTTTTTAGGATTGCCAAATGATTTGGCAATAGCAATCAGACGAGCCATAACAAATTAAATTTTCCTGAAGTACGTACATTTGCATTTTGGAGTGCTTTGTTGTGCAGATTGTTATTATAATTTTTATCTGTAGTGTTTTCTGGTTTATGTGTTGCTAGGTCTGCTTTCATACCCCTCAGTTGTTCTCAGTGCCATCTGATAGAGCTCTCTCAAATATTGGGGGAAAGCACTCTTGGCAGAATCAGTGCTGCCTAACAAACCCAGAAGGAACTTGAGTGAAGGCAGTT